AACCCGCACCGGATTCCTCCCGGGTCGGATCTGGACGGGAGCTCAGTGCTGCCCCACCGGCAGCTCAGATGGGGAAACTAAGGCCCAGGGGGGCGGGACTTCGCTTAAAGTCACAAACTAGGAAGATGCTGCTGGCTCTGGTGACCTTGGGTGAGGCCCTGCCCCTCCCCGGGCCTCCCTGACTCACCCCAGGGGGAGCCGTGAACTTCCTGCCACCCTCTTCCAGGTCAGGGCTCAGACAGTCAGGAGCCCAAGGCTGAGGGGGGAGTTGGGGGAGGGAAGGGGCGGGAAGGGGAAATGAGCAGCCGGGCCTGACCTTGCCCTGGTCCAGGGCATGAAAGACCCATTCATGGCTGCTGAAGTCTGGGTGGCAGCTGAGCTGGCCTGTGGGGGTGGGGCCTCCCTCGGGGCCTTTGTGGAAGCAGGTCCCTCTGCCTAGGATTCCCTTCCCACCCCTCACCCCGCACCTCATGTGCTTTGCCAAATCCATCTATTAGTCCTTCTGTGGTTCCCCAAATCACCTTCTCGTGGTCTTCCGGGGCCCCCACCCTGTCACAGTGCCCAGTCATCTCAGCCTCGGTTCCTCTGTCTCCTCTGCTAGATTGAAAGCAGGTATCTGGATTGTCTTGTTGACTGCTCAGCCCAGGGCCTGGTACACAGTAGGTGCTCAATAAATGTTAATGGAAGGAATAGGTTGCCAGAGAGGAGGGCATGTCAGGGGGTGGGCGCAGCACAGGTAATGGTATGGAGGTCGGAGGAAGGTGCAGAGCCTGGCTGCTACCCAGAGGTGCTGTGTCTTAGCCCCCTCCTTGTTGACGGGTGTCATCTCCCGAGGTGGGCAGGACACAGGGGTGACAGGTGCAGGCTGATTTGCCTGGGACTCCGGCTCTGCCGGAAAGCAGGTCAGGGCAGAACCACTGGCAGGAAGGCCTGGCTGCTGGCGGAGGTTTGTGGTCACCAGGAGGGCCCCTGGGCAGATGCCCAGGCCCTGGGAGAACCCAGTTGCTCAGGGCCCAGTGTATCCCATGGAGCAGGGTTCAAGTTTTTGTTTTGTTTTTAATATATTTCTTTATTGATTTCAGAGAGGAAGGGAGAGGAACAAAGAGATAGAAACATCAATGATGAGAATCATTGGTTGGCTGCATTCTGCACGCCCCCTACTGGGGATTGAGCCCACAACCCTGGCATGTGGCCTTGGCTGGAATCGAACCCAGGACTCTTCAGTCCACAGGCCAATGCTCTATCCACTGAGCTAAACCAGCTAGGGCAGGGCTTATGTTTTGATGTCATACAGGGAAGCCACATAGCCTGTTGGGGGTCCAAGGATGGGACACAATGGGTAATGCCCACATAGAAGGTGCTTTATAATCGGTGGCAAGAGGACAATGCTCCCTTCCCATCTGCCTGTGCCCTTGGGCAAGCTCCTGGGCCTCTCCGAGCTTCAGTTTCCCATCTATGGGCGCCTTCTAGGGCTGCCCTGAGGAGTGAATGAGGTCACTTCTGCATCAAGGGCTCAGAAGTCGCCCCTGTACACAGTAGGTGTGCAAGACATGTGGCTAGATAAATACATCCTAGTAAAACGTTTGTTGGTTGCCTACTGCAAACTGGAGGTGCTGGAGGAACAAGGGGGCGGGGGATACATTGTCTCACCCGCATGGGGAGGTGCTTTGGACAGACAGGGACACTGAGGCCCTGAGAGGGACTCCCGCTGTCCTCAGGTCACAGAGGGTCCAGGAGCTTACAGGGATGTCTGGAATCAGAAGACCAGTTTGTCCTGGAGTCCCAAAGGCCAGGGGCAGGAGTGCCCCTCCTGGGCCCCCTAGGAACCTCTTTCAACAGCAGGCCCCGCAGGACGCTGGGACGGAGGACAGCCTCTGTACCATGATCTCTGCAGCCAGCTGGCTCAGGTTCAAATCCCCGCGTTCTTACTAGGTGACTTTGGACAAGACGCCTCCCTGCGCCTCAGTTGTCTCACGTGTCTGCTGAGTGTTACAGTTAATGCTTGGAGATTGAATAAACACCCTCATAGGAAGGGGACCCAGGAGACCTCGGGGGTGTCTAACACCGCCCCCCTCATCCACGAGTGTGGTTGGGAACGTCCTGAGGATGTGAGTCTGGCCCGAGTGGACCAGAGCAGGAAGTCCGGAGGTAGGAGGGTGCGCAGTTCGGTGCCCCACCCGGACAAAAGCAGGAAGCCTTCGCTTGGATCTCTCTCCCCACCCCCACCCCCACCCCCCAT